ACTCTGTTCATTAACGCTTCATTTTTGTCAATACTTCTTTATCCGTTCTATTTCCATGCGTTTTTATAATATATCTTAAGGCATATTTTATTTAATTCTAAACAAACGTTATCATATTCCAAAGTCAGAATAGCTAGAGAATTTATTTTCTAAAAAGAGTAGAAAAGAGAGAAAAATGTAATAGGTAAAAAATAGGTTGGAATTAATGTATAATTATTGTTTCTTAAGTTTTTTAATTCATCATCAATTAGAACGTTTTTTTAATCAATTATTGTTAGAATGTAGGTATTTGAAATAATTTTTACCATTAACAATTTTTCTTTAATCACATTTTTTGCATTTTCCGGCTTTGAATAAAATATACAATGCATCTATTCAAGGTATACGTAATTGTTTCATCCCATGTAGATGAAAGGATCACTTAAGAGATTTCCGTTGGGAGAGAATCTGTCTAATAAATAGATATTAAATAGATATTAAATGCACTCTCGAAATTCAAGTTAAACTTGTTTTCAAAATCGTCCATTATATTAATACTATTAATCAGTTTCAATCATATATATAATATAAGCTATATTAACGTATAATATTTTATTTAAGAAATCACTGAGTATATACATATACATAACGTTTCTAGCAGCAGAGCATTTTAACGACAATAAATGCGATTTCTAATTTTGTTGACAAAATACCGAAAGTCTCTCTTACATAAGTTACATATTTTTTCAGCGCGAAAAAAAAGATAGATTTTTGTAAGAAGATTACACCTGTAGGAGATGTTATAATCCTCCTTGTGTCAGAGATGCCGGTTCTCGTATTCGCGGTAGGAAAGCATTTTCCACTTAAAATCCCTTTTCCGAGATGTGACATGCACCGTAACCAACAGCTATGATGTCTTTCAGAGCGGCGTTTATGAGACTTTATTTATTTTTCGCGCATATTCAGTAAAAGAGGGAAGGAAAGAAAGAAAGGAAGAGAGAGAAGAAAGGTGAAAGAAAGATAGGAAACTCTCGACAATGAGAGTTCACACGTAACCACCTAGACTCTAGTGATGCGATAAGAGCGGACGCATACGAGCTGGCTTACTTCCATCACAATGAAGCAAAAAAAAAGAACAAGCCTCGGAGTCCTTTATTAGCTCTACCTACACTTCACACGATCCTCGTCGTTTACTTGTAATTTAAGCGCAATTTACGCGAAAGTACCTCATAAGTCTCTCGCTGGCGCGAATATTTATCCGGAAATTTGCGGAAGATATAAATGAAAACGCTTTTTTCTGAAATCAGAAAATATTCCAGGATGAAGTAGCAAAAAAAGAAAACGCGATAGAAACAAACAATAGAAAATGAAGAAAATGAAAAAGATAGAAAGAAATCAGTGTGACTGTGTACAATCATAGCTGTTCGTTACTGCTGAATTGTACAAGATTAAACGCTCATGTACTAATGATATGAAAAGATTCCCATTCAAGAGGATAATTGAATGTTACTCTCATTAAACATACGATCATCATTAACATGAATTTAATTATCGATCGTAATTATTTCCGCGCCCATTCTCGATGCAACGGCCGAACATCCTATGTAATGCACCAACTATATGTAATTAAATGATACATTCAATAATTATATTACAATTGTAAAGTTTGCAAGTTATGTGATATCAACCCAATCAACGTAATTAAGGCAGTTTCACACAAGTATCGTTTTTATTCAAAAAGTTTTATTAAATAATGTTTGTGTTAAAATAGATTGTTGTGGATTTTTGTTAAGCAATATATTTTTTTCAATTTATTACATTTTTAGCCTCTGTCATATATATAGTGCATTTATATAATATGCACATACATATTTAAAAATAATTTTTTTAAATGATCAAGAAGTTAAGATAATTGGATATACATTTTCATATGTAATCACTTTCATAGATAATTTGTATAATGCGCATCCGCATACCATGTAAATTGTTACGAAATGTGTAACACCTTGCATAATTACGACAGAAACAATGTTCGCATTGTTGTAAATGCGCACATTCTGCGAATGGCACATAGAGAGATATGTAAATTTTACGCTGCATACTATGTTTCGTCATCTCCTGTAATAGTACGATTATTCGTGAAATCATAAACCAAATGTTAAGAGCTTGCTTACTTTGTAATTATTCATCTCTAGAACTGCAAATCTTTAGCACTCTTTATCACTTTATCACATTAATTTAAAAACAAATTATCAAACACATGCTCTAATATTATATCGTTATGTCACTTGTATATAATAATGTATAACAAATTTACATATCGCTTTGAAAAAATGCTATAAGTGTAATAATTTTTGATAATCTCATAGATTATATTGCAATAATTATCGCCAATTCTTTTTCTTCAACGGATTATTCCTTTTGTATGAAATTCAAAACATCTCCCCATTTTCTTCCGGAACTGTTATGCAACGACTATAGATAATATCAATGTCTCCGGAAATTCGTAAATTTAAAATTACAATATCAAAATACAAATCATCGATAAAATAGCTTTACGACGATGGAATGAAAAATGTTTGGCACGAAATATGCTATGTGATATTAGTATCAAGGTCTTTGAAATGCATGTTGTTTCGTATACCATATATCGGAAGCAGATAAAATAACTCGCTTAAGTGTGTCTGTAAAATAAAATTTTTCCAGTAAGGTACATTTTTTATGTATTTTTTAAATTCATGCATTACACGGTATTGAACAATATTCTTTGCATTCAAAAATATTCTTTAATATTTAAGCTTTGATATTTCGAAGGAATTCTTATATCATTGAGAGAAAATCCTACTTCATTAAAACGATACAAAGATTAATACAGTGAAAGTTTAACAAACTATAAACTCGGCAAGAATAATCTCAGTGCGATACATAGACGAGATACGTTAAAGAGACTAGGATTTCCTCGCTAAAGTTGGGACGATAAATCGAATCGGAATGCTAATACTTCGATCGAATAGTTTATCTCGCGCTTTGCCTTTCCGCCACCAGTATGATATGCTAATAGCTCGGACCGGCATTTCCGTCTGAATTCTTGTTTCCCTACCTTTCTTCCAAGATCCCGTATATCCCGTGATCCTCTATTTTAATCTATTCAACCGATCTAGGCGGAGAAAGCACACTGTTAATGAATAACTTTTTCCAGCCACTTAGAATATCAAAATTCTTCTGATATTTCTATATAATAAACAAAAGTATATAAGAATAATCTGCAATTCAGTATTATTTTAAAATCATGTGTATAATTTATATGTCCAATATAATTTATATAATTTTCAAACGAGTGAATATATGCAGAAGTTACAAGATTACACTCGCTTAGTGTAAAAGGATACTTCTACTATATCCTTCTGATCAGTTTTATCGAACATTTAGGAAAGACCCACCGATCTGAGTCATACTTGTTCAAACATTAACGTCGTAATCTCGAAACTTGTGAGAAGAGCGCCAACATATATAGCATCATACAGTAGATGAGAAAGAGAACTCAGCGAGAGGAAGAAGGTAAGAGAAGACCATAGAAAGGAAGTGGAAATGGACGGATCCAGCTAAACGAGCAGATTCGTAATCTCTTTACTGCCACACGACGAGAAACTTGATGCTGACGAGCTTAGTGCTTAGCGACTTTCGTAACCGTGTCAAGCCGGCCTAAAAGACGAGTCAAGCCTGAGATGCGACGCAAGCCCTTTCCACGTTAAGAGCCATTCGTCTGGATCTTTTCTGACATTACGTCTGCTTTCGAGATTATAACTCCGAGATTGTGATGTGACGTATTCATAGCGTCCGGTGGAAAAAATCACACCTTTCTTCTGTCGGACAATTTCGTCTCGTTATTGTAAATGCAATTTTTCAATTTTTGTCGCCTTCTCAATAGCTCTTAAATTTTTCCTTATCTGAACGTGTTATTTTATCTTATTATAAATAAAAAATTAATAATAAGACGATATTTTTACCTCATACTAATAACACAAAATGTTATTAAATAAATGTTATTACGTAATTTAACTTATCATGCAATCTGAGAAATTCTGCGAAAGTTCTCGAGGCTCGTGTTAGCTTTTAAGAAAATATCGATAACGTGCAGTCGTTACTTTTCCGAACGATTGCATCGAAGAATATCGAAGGGCAAGTTAGGATTTAGGACATCGACACACAGTGATCGTAAAAGACGCATACTTAAAACTTATTTATGAAATGGACTTTGAACTTTAATAAGGTTATTTGCAAGGCAGTAACGATATTAAACTTCCTAACATTTTTATGTTAGGAAGTATAATATAAAATTTGAAAAAGTTTTATTTTCCCATTTTCTGTGACGATCAGAGTTTAATATGAAGAGAAAATAGTCTCTTAATCTTTCATTCAAATTTTACTCACGATATAATCATTGTAATTAAACATAAGCATCAAAGTCTAAAAGTAGACGCTAATCAAAGCAAAGTTAACTCAACTTTCTATTTTAAAATTTATCAGCCGAAAGAGTTATGAAGATGAGAGTTCCATCATCTGAGAAGGATTTTTAATGAAGAATAACGTCGCTATCATTAAAAATAGATTTCTCCGTTGTACCTCATTCAACTTTAATATTTTACGACAAAACTTAAATTATCGTTGTCATAATATAAATCAAAATTTATATATCTATTATATATTTATATATTTATTAAATGTTATTGCGTCTGCTCTAAAGCTGAAAGACACACGTTTTCTGTTTTCCCACAGTATAAACTGTAAACAGGATCTCAAAGATATCTAAAGAACGTCTCGGAATCTGGCAACACATTTTAGATGCTTCTTTGCTTTTGCTATAGCCATTTGTATTCTCTGAGTATTCAATTACAAATACAAGAACCGTGGCTTGCTTATTTTCTCTTTTACCGTAAGCGGGTTTATCGAGAGGAAAGCTGTATCTAGACTTTCATCTAAACGAAGTAAACGTTACGAAGGAGACGTCTTACATATTTCAGCTTGTCGCCCACGAGAGACGATTGTCGACTTCGGCCTCGCGAACAATGGCTGCAATGAGTTTAGGTTTTATCGTCATGGTCACACCGTGGACAATTCAGGAAGTCGTTGTAGCCTGCACCGGAAGCAAGCCGCCGCCGTTTCTCGACTTCTTGGCCACGTGGCTGGCTCTCTCCAATAGCTTTTGGAATCCTTTCCTCTACTGGCTGCTCAACAATCATTTCCGCCGAATTTCGCGGGAGCTTCTTTACACAAAGGTAAGCATAAACGCTTACACATTTTAAATCAGTTATTATTTGTATGGCACTATCGTATATTTATTTTGATGATCAAAAATGCATTTAAATGAACAAGTATCTCGATTAGAAAATGAGTTAATATAATTATTATTATTTTTTTTAGGCAAAGTTTTAAATTTAATTGTGAGTTTTGAAATAATCAAAGCTTATTTTCTAATCTACAAAAAAAAATATGTTTTATACTTTTAATTTAATGCATTTCAAACTATTTCGATTCTATTTGGTTCCTACTTTTTTGTGCTTGTCCCAAAAAATCAGCTTGTCTGGTTTTTGCGAATTACAGTTTTGCTGGACCATTATAGTTCCAACGAACACTCTTTTACACATGTGAACGTTCGCGTAAATCTCGTTACCAGCAGGCGCTTGTTTTTAAACATCCATTAAAGCCCAGTCCGCTGCACTTGGTAAATGAGAAACAATTTTTTTCTTCCCGTTTTGATGCAACAAAAGATCAATCTTTTGTTTTAAGTAACTCACGAATTAAAACAATTTAAACTTTTTTCATACAACAAAATATATCTAGTTATCTCCGTCGAGGAGCATTAATAAAAGCTATATATCATGAAAAATTTCATGTAGAATTTCCCCTTTTATATTTTATATTTTATATTTTATTTTAAAAAGTATTTTATAATTCAAGTAAATTCGAATATATATCAATGTGCAATAGAAAAGAAATTTTCAAACAAAGCGATATTCTACGTTGTGCAAAAAAACACGCTGTGCAGGAAATTTATACGATTAGAAAAGCTCGACAGATTCGCAAGGCGGACGCGGTATTTCCTTTTGTTTACCATTTCCTTTTTTTTCGTTTGTTTTATCTTTTCGTTACAGCACGGTTTCTCTCTCTTTCTCATTCGATTTTACGCTCTACTCCCTTTATTTCGTAAAATCAATCGTGCGTTGTTACGGAATCAGTAAATTTCTCGGAGAGGATGGCGATTTCTCGTCGCCGGCAAACGAATGAAGACGAACGACTTAACATGATTCCTCTTCTCGCCCTACCGGAAAACACAGTGGAAAGCGACGGTACCTGTCGAGGAAACAAGATTTATCCCGCGCAAAACCCGTTACGCAACGCCCGATGTTTTCCGCGACGATCGCGACGGATCCAAGAACGCACGGTCTCTCGGCTATTCCTTATTCTCCGCTGAATTCCCTTTTCGGATTCAGCAGGAATGAGGAGAAAAGGCCGCACGTCGCGTAACTCGGTCCGGCCACATAGATCTTGGCGCTTCGACTTTACAGGCCATGAATTCCGAAAAGCTCGTCGGCGCGCAGTAAATCTTTAATCGTAGCGTGAAGTGCATCGCGGCATCCTCTCTCCTATGTCCGCACTTCGCCGGATGCGAAGCTACATGCGAGCAAAGTGAACGCGTACAGAGCTTTTGGTATTCCTTTACAACTGACTCGCACCGCCATTCGATTGATAGCCGATAAACGAGTTCGACTCTGCACGAGATAAACGCTGCCACTGCTGGTGCATCACGTGGCCCGCTGTTTTTGTGAAAAATGGAAACCGATTTGCCGGATTATATTGGAATTACGCAATTGCAACGTGGAAATTAAACTTATATTTTCATCATTTATTTTTCGCGTGTTATATTTTTTTGAATGCAGCACATTATGTTACAAACAAGCTTAAAATGTTTAGAAAATTATTAAAAATAATATCCCGCGTCTCGAAATTTTCGAGTTAAGAAAAACGAAATTTAAAATTCGAAGAATCTATCGTTATAATAACGAAAATGTACAGATAATAAAGAATATATTATAAGATAAATTATAGATTATGTGTGAAGAACTCAAAGTTCGATATTTTTTACACATGTACTAAATTTATGATAGCAGATGGTAATTTTATGTGTTAACGTTTTGGTAAAGCGATAGATCAACTGGCTTATGGGAATCAGTTTGCATAAATACGAATACGCTCTTAACAGGGGTACCCTGGGGATCATATGCCGGATATTGCGCTTGAATCTTGGTTTTTAGTGGCTTAGATATTGTCCATGAAATTTATATAAGGCGATTTCACGCGAGAACGTACTTTGAAACGAATTGCAAATGTCATGAAATTTTTTATGCTGTATTTGAAATATTGGAATAAAAAATCGTATTTGATAAATAAATAAATGATATAAATACCTATAAATATGCGTTAATCGATAAACGCCAATCAGACATAATAAAATGTCAAAACGTCAAATGTTTACCAACGATTATTATAAATTTTATTGTTATCTGTAAAAACATTTTTGTATGTAGAAATTATAATACAAGCAAAATTTACGAAAAAAATGTTATATTCCGTAATATAAATTTATAGTAAAACATAATTAAATGTTTAATAGAAAAAATAATAAAATGTTTAATAGAACTTTTATAATAGTGTTTTAATGTTTGACAATCATAAGCTAAATGATTGATGTATTTATTTCAATGGTACAGCATATTCTTTACTTCACCATATCTGTCTCAACTATATGTATATTTGACAAATTATATTCCTTGAGGACCGACGCTGCATTACAAGTATTCTGTTTCGGAGTGCTGTTTCATCACATGGCACACAAAGTTTACGAAACCACAGCGATATACATCGCTCACAATTAAAACTACTTTACATTTATATAGTAAGCGAGTGTATGAATATAATGGGGTAATGTATTCGATTACCAGGAAGGCTGCGAGATAATGTCGTGATTATTTATTACCTCGTTCTCACGGGAAATAATCTTGACTTCATCGGACAGGTAATCAATAAAGTTTATAAAATGTTATCCTCTTTGAAAGCAATTGATTTATTGTTTGTAAACTGACAAGCATTTTTCCATCATCGATGCAACGTGATTGTTATGATTGATACTTGGATAATTTTAATTTTCTTTTTAATATGCAGATTCTGTGCAGATCTAAGCCGTTAGGAACGAAGCAACATTGCTGTGCGACCAGCACCGGTGGCTTGGATGTTTGCAGCATCGCCGGTGTCGACCTATCAGGTATGCTAAACGGATGTCATATCGCATTAAAAGCGAAGTCAATCAATCGGGAACATTTCTCCACGTTAAATTTCGCATATATTGATATGCAGAACGAGCTCAATAGAATCAGTATTTGAACAGCAGATATATTGAGTTCAGAGACGCTTTACGCAGCAAAAATTTAAAATAAATTTACGTTTTATTCCTACACATACATAGTATATGATTATTTTTCAGCAAAAAAATGCAATCTAAAATCTTAAAAAGAAATATACCCTCAATCTTATATGAATTTCTATCTTTGTGTTAATTATATAGCAAAATTCAATCCGCGTTTGCTTTTATATTGATTTGACACCGACAGCGATGGGATTAACGTAATCAGTGTTTTGCACTAATTAAACCAAGGGAAATCAGCCTTTTGACAGCATTCATTATCAACATTAACTGCATTCTCGCGCTCTATGTGACATCCATAAACGGAAATTTAATGCGATCACTAGTAATAATCAATGTCATCACACACCCACACGGAAATTTAATGCGAGCTATATCGTAATCATGCTTGAAAGAGCATATATCGGACTTACGATTACTGCTATTGATATTACGCAATGTTTTTTACATTTCCATATTTGCATACTGCAAAACATAAATTATAAGTTGGTTTTTGGCATCGTTTAATTTTTATCGCTACAATTAGATAAAGTTTCTGAATATTCTCTTATATATGTATATACATATATACAAATATTCATATATTAATAAATATAGAAACATGTAGGCATATTTTTGATTCTAAAATTGAAAATAGACTAGCTAAAAGATTAGGGAGCGCCAGAATTTTATAATAAAAAAACGTATATTATTAAATTTTAGAATAAGAATAAAGAAAAAGATTTTTCTTTAGTTTAATTTAATTAAATCTAGATTTAATTAAATCTTTATCCCTACTGCATTTCATATTTTATATATCGCAACATAGATTTTCAATCTTCAGCTGCGCAAAGAGAGAGAAAGAGAATAGTATATTATGTAAACTGTTTACATGAAGAAAGACAATGATATTTTCAATAAAATTTTATACTGGAATTTTTTGTAGAATATCTCAAAAATATTACAAAATAGCACTGAGGATTATTTTACGATATTTAATTATCGGCCGATCAAAACAAAATACACAAAGACCAAACATAAAAGCAAATATTACTTCATAGCTGCATACTTGAATCAAATCTACTGTTAAGTATAAATGAAATATAATATATAAACCACAATATGAATAGAATTTTGCTTTGTGCAAAAATAATTAATGTTTATACGTATGATCGTTAATGTAACTTAATACGAAAAACGACGTTTTTCCACAGACCGTGGATTTTTCTTTTCAGGTTTGGAGCGTTGCTCAATGGAACGATGCTCAATGGCGCGTTGTTCCACGTTATCATTAGCGAATACGCCGCCACCGCTCCCTTGGGAGACCGGACACATGGCACATGACGATGCAGCATCCACGTGAGGTGTGTCGCATAAATATATGTTTTTGCTATATTATTCATTATTGCTTCTATCCACGTTATTCTATATTATATGAGATCCGTCCCCATTGTATTAAAATTTAATAATAGACTCTTTGATCAATTTTCAAGTATTTTTAATGAAAATATGTGCATATGCATGAATAATTCTTGAGCTGTAAGTAAAATTTTAAAAAGCATTTGCGAAAAAATAAAATTTGCAAAAATAAAAAAAAAAGAGTAAATCTATTTTACTTTTTAATTCTTTAGGTACATTTTGCCGGAGTTTCAAGTAAATTTTTCGGAGTATTAATTATAAAATGTTATTTATTATTAAATATAAAAAATATTACAACACAGATGAATATCTTTTAAAAATATTTTAAAAGACTTATTATAAAAATTATTATATTATATAAAAGGAAGAAAATGTTTTTAATTTTTCTGCTATTATTTATTTTTATGGTTTTATTGTTAGGTATCATAGCGTGTTTTTCTGCTAATCACTTTTATCTTAATTATAATTTTAATTATATTAATCTTTAATAAAAAATTTATTTTTTCCGATATTTCCGAGTGAAATTATTTTCCTTATCGCTGCTCACGTCTAGTTAATTGTTGTGATTAATGATCTATGACACTTTTCAGGCAAAGATGCCGCCACGCAGACGGAGGATTACGGATCTCCGGACGACGCCAGTTAGTACAGCGTGGCGGCAAGCCGGCGGTACCCGACTCTGCTTCAACAGTTCCGGGCACAATATCCATCGTCTGTATACCTACATCCAAGGGGCGATGCTGCACCCTCGCTGGCACGAGGGAGAATTTCGTACGTCGCGACGATCGGACCGGGCCAGTATCATCGACACGGTCAACGGCATCATTTCGAGCACGCGCGCTTCAGGAGCCTGCCAGATCTTGTTCGGGATTTAGAATCGCGGTGAAACACTAATTGCAAATCACATTATCGTATCAGGGTACTACTGCACCGTTGTCGCGGTCGCATAAGAAGGCTTGATCACTCCGCGCTCTCATCAGCCTGTTATAATTACGAAATCCACGCTTCCGAGACACGAGTATATATGTGAAGCCATGTGTCGACACACACAGCGATTAGTTTTCGTTGTGCCAAGATCGATTACGGGAATAAATTATGGCACCGACGGGGATACTAATCGTACTGCTCTCGACGATGTACATGGAGATGTTTAATCACGGCGTAGCACTCTGCGAGTGTTAACGTCATTCCGCGCCCGCATTTACCTCGTTCTCTACAATTCATTATTAACGCATGAACGTTCATAGCACAAACGGTGTGCTCAAGCGTATAATTAATTTTCTTTCTAACGATTAACTTTTTTTCTACGAATTTTCAGAATATACAAAAGGGTTATTTGAAGGTACAGATCCTAAATCTACAGTATTCCTTTCAGCAGTTTTTCATCAATTTAGAACTGAATCTGTTTCTGAAAGAAATTTTATTCTATTTAAACGTCTTACGACGTAACAGGGCTTGCGATACAGTCACGAACTATAAATGACGTAAAATGTCGAATAGATAAAATAAAATTCATGAAAAAGAAAGATATATTTTAACGTATAATTGTTTGCTCAAGAGCTCATTGGCATACGACGCCGATGAATAATTTTTTATCATAAACATTGTTTTTATATATACTTCACGAAAAGAGTCCGACAAAGAGATGCATGAAAGAAGTGCAAATATCCGAAATCACCCTTTTAATATCGCGGAATTTTATACAATAAACGAACAAGTGGAATAGGACGCGCGATAATGACAATGTTCCTGCATTTCCAAAAATACACTTTATTCAATAATCTTACGCTTCTGTAGAAAATTTTGCATTGCTAAGAAATTATCTACAATGTTTCCTAAGAAGTTTGTTCCAATGATAATATTGTAAGACAAATTAATTACATTATTTTTGTTTAGCATAATGCAGATGAAACAATATAGAAGCAGGCTGTAAATTTAATTACAAATCTGAATTAATTATGACATGGCTTTCTCTACGCAATTGCATGGAAATAACCAACATCTGAACTTTTGTTGAAATTATTGAAAAATATATGAAAAATATTAAGTTGATGCAAAATATTTGTAAAATATTTGCAAAAAAGTTGTCTCATTTTTTCCAACTTTTGTATTGAATAAAATAAAAATTCGAAGCTTGTTGAAAAGGAAATTATTGAAAAATTTCTTTTTTTATAAGAAAATGTATTAAAGCGAGCATGTTAAAGCAAGACAACAATTTGTGAATCTTGATTTTGTAATTATTTTGTTTTCAACTTTGACAGATGTGACAATTCTTTTGTACCAGCATAATATAATTGTAATATTAAGAACTTTTTAAGTATGAAATATAATAGAAGACTAGTATAAAGCCGCACTGAACATTATCGAAGAAATCATTGGATATCAATATCCAAGAAACGGCAATAGTATCTCTGCTTTAAAAGAGAAATACGGAATCATACTTTGTACATGTTTTAGCATTATGCAGAATATAAGCTTCTTGAAGAAAAATTACTTTCTACTGACACTCAGGCTGTTTGTCCAAAGAAAGAAAGCGTCAAAACGATCAGAAGTAGAACTTCTAATGAGGTCAATTGACGCCGCCACATATACATAATTCTTATGAATAAAATTCGCGCGTGTAACTTCTCTCTTTTTAGATTTTAATATGTATAAAAATAATTGTTTTTTTTTAATTAATAATTAGAAATGTTACGCACATCTTTGATCCAAGGCGATTTATATGGTAGGTATAGAGATACTTTATTATTGAAATTCTCTATTTAAAACTATAGATTAGTTTTTTAAAATTTTTTGTTTTTCTCTTATTTTTTATTCGTCACTTTAATTAAGTAGTGTGCCTCCATATCTCAGGAATACGTATGACATTTGCTTAAATAGGCTTATTTTATGTTTTATGATGTTATCTTTTCTTTTAAATATTGTAAATATTATGTACAATTTTAATTTTTGTTATATATATTGAAATATTCTCTAATAATGCAAGTCTAACAAGACTTTAAAAAGACTAACAAATTTCTTACGTAACTTTGACTCGTATCAAATATTTTTACTCATGTACATCACTAGCCATAATAAATAGTAATTAAATTTTTCATAAATTTATTAATCAAAAAGACATGCGATACATTTCTTGATTAAATAAAAATAGATACTATTGCTAAGCATCCGCATGCTTGCATATCTCTAAAATAATAAGATCCGTCTATTTTATTCGTTTAAATTAATATGCAGCTGACGGATCATTATTTATTTTCAAACTGTTGATAAGTAACAAGTACTATGCCTCAGACGGCAACACGGACTCTTTGAAGTATTCTTCGAGAATTTTATTCCTTCGTTCAAAATTTCTTTAAGAGGTTGCTTATTAAAACATTTTATGTACATATATGAGAAAAAGTAATCCGAAATATCTAACTGACACACATACACGAGCAATTGAACCAGGAAGTGCAAGCGATAATATACTTTTTGAATGTGTTAGAGAGACTCATATTACCTTATAAATAATATAATTAATATAATTAATATAGCAAATTCCAAAAAATAAATAGTCTTGTAAAAAAAAATATTCATCTAATTGTGAGTTCTTAAAATTGCAATATGTATGTTGTGTGTGTATATACATATATACATCTTTCTTCTTTCGTTTAATCTGATCAAATAATAATTTCATACATGAAGCAAAGTTATTATTATTATTATTTGTCTTTAAAAAATTAAAAATTGGCAATGCATACATAAAAATTTATTGCATGCAAAAAATATATTAATTAATTATGAAATGCATAAAAATTCAAATATTTAAATTTTTAATAAAAAATGCGAATAAAACATAGAATTTTCTACAAGAATCTTTCGATATAAATACTTCTGCGCTTCCATTCGACTCGCGCATCTCATCCATACATCACGCTGCACGTTTCACGCAAGACTGATGCCGAATAGTCTCGCACGAAAGGTGCAGTGGTGTGCAGCATGGAACGTATTGAGACGAGCGAGTCTAATAAGCGCAGTTATTTTGATCAATTCTTGTATAAAATTCTATTTTTTTGCTCGCATTTTCTGATAAAGTTTTAAATATTTAATTTTTATGCATTGCATAATTAATATATTTTTATACATGCATTGCAATTTTTAATATTTTATATTATTTATATTAAAGAATAATATAATATAACTTTGCTTTGCGTGTGTAATTATATTCGATTAGATTAAACAAAATGAGAAATATATATACATATCGTAATTTTTAAAACTCACAGGAAATAATAGCTCGGGAATACTCAAGTTTATTCCAAATTCTTCCACGATCTTTTAACAGTACAGAAAATAATATTTGTTGACTCACGTTTTCATAACTCTCTTATTATGCTTATTTTGCATTATATACGCAAGACGCTAATGCAGGAAATTCGAATATTATATGTCGAATTAATCAAGTAAAATTAATTGTATCACGGTAAACTATATTTTCCATAAAACTTTACAAGCTGTATTCTTAAAAAAAAGAAAAAATTTTTATTTGCATTTGAGAATTCGCTGTTTGTTTGTGAACTTTTTAATGCGTCAAGAACAGATCTCTCTCTAACGCAATTGTACATATACATATATTTATATATATTTTTAAGATGTAACGTATTAATCAACAATCACACAAATTGTTTAGTAATGTCGAGAATCATCACTGAAATCTCTCAACGTGATAAAATACAAGTTTAGCAATAGCGTTATAAGACGATATAAAAAAATTAGGAAGAGATATTACGTCTTTCTTCTAATTGTAAGCATAGCAAGCCGGTGTAAAGGCTCGATCTAAAGGACAGTAAAAATAAAACACTGCCTGTAAATGATTTACCATCGATACGAGACAATTTATTGTCTACGATGATGCCACGATTCACGTTACTTTGTATCAAATCGAATGCGAGTAGTATTTGTATTCAATAATTCTATAATTCGATATATAGCGCAATTATGCGTACACGCATTTAGATAGAATTTTAGAATAAGATTATTAGTTAAAGGCAAAACAATGACTAGTTAGATATTATTGAATAATCATGAGACTTTTAATAATCACACCACCGAACGAATGCCTTAATCGGGAATCTTTTATAAATCGGCAGCATAGACTGAAAGGGAGAAGCAAATATTGTACATACTCTGCAAAAGATGACTAGTGTCAGCCGATTTAATTTGGCTATTTCTTGCAGAGTAAATAGGAATTGAGCGTTATAATTTATTTAAGTATAATACAATAGTTGCGCGTTTTGTATTCGTATTTAAATTATCATTAGACCGATTACTATTGCTATTGTAATCATTGCAAAATAAAGTCTCAATTCTTTTTAAAGATGAGTTAAATTTTGTCCTGTAAATAATTTATTGGAAAAATATTGAAAAAATAAGAACAAAAATATTATTCTATATAATAAATCTTAATTATCAACTTAGCAATAATAATAATTATTTAAAAAGGTTTCACAGAACATTATAATAAATTTTTCAGCATGTAAAAAAGCAGACGTGCAGGAACACATGAGTAAAATATGTACATGAATGTAAATCGCACACAAAGCGAGACTAATCATACGTATATTTGCAATAAAAATCTATATCTTATCTGCTTGTATTGTTTTTATAATAATAAAAAAAATTGTTAACAGAGTAAGTCGAGTGAAAATTGATCGCTGGAAGGTCAATAATTTTAAACTTACGTCGAAAAAGAAAAATATTTATAAAAAATTATAATTACTTGATTAATAAATTATTTACTACATCGGAACTTCTCGATCATCGAATAAATATTACAATAGCGTTATATAGTAAAAAAATACAACTGTTGCGTTGCACAAATAAGAAGAAATCCTTCTGTTATTTATGAATTTAACAAAGTTTTCCTTGGCATTTATATTAAAATTTTTGATATGGCAATCCTATTTTACATTATTTCAAATGATTGTAAATAACTGTAACGCTAAATAATCTGTATATATCTATAATATATGACATATGTTTGTCAATAAATAATTAATTCCTACAATAAAAATATTATTTGCAACGTATTCTTGCCCGAATTGTTATAATCAAATAGAATGATTTAAATATAAATAAATATCACACATATATACTATATATCAAATATATTTGTTAGTAATACGACATGTTTTCTGCGAAATTTGAAACGTGTTACATGTATAATATTTGTTGAATATTATTAAAGTTTGAAGCATTTATAAAATGAAAATTTCAAATTTGTTGTTAAACAGACCTGCGAAAATGGCTATATGTATTTAAATGTATATGATGATTTAAATATATAATGATAATGACTGCGTTTATAACACAATAATGTTATAATTCAAAATTTTCATAAAAAAACTACATTATACCAAAAATAAAAATTATTGCATTGTTTAAGATATGTATATCTTGTGATAGAAAAATCAGATTTTAATAATTAAAATTCGAAAGAACTCTTCACAGTCTGATATTCTTGCTTATACATGCATATATAAAATTAAAATTTTTTATACTTTTACATTTTATATTAAAAATGTAAATACTGTAGCTTTTTTAAATATCTCTTATAAAAAAGATATAATATAACGTGAAAATAAACGTGTAATTAATTTCGCAAAATTATATACAATATATAGCAAATAATGAAATTAAAAAATTATAACAAATTTTCTTATCATATGATTGCCCGATGCCTTTTCGGACTTTACTTTCCTCTCTTATTCATTCCTAGCTTTTTTTACATATTCTTTGTCTTACATGACACACTTACTCGCGAAAACGTGATAAAATATCAATTGTTTTAAATTTTATTATATGTAATTTCCATATATTTATATTTTACAGTTTACAACTCTGCTGCTATACGTATCGTATCGGTGAGTCTTATCAATTTTAATTTTAATTTTAATTTATCGCGTGATTGCAAGAACGCGCAATATATACGAATCGAACAATCGAGGTAAAGAAAAGTTATGATATATTATAACCGTTCATTAATAATTGAAAACTATATGTACGTAATTGGAAATAATATTGCGCATAAATACATTTTATAATATGTAAAATATTTTGTTGGCAATGAGAATACATTTTACATTGTCGGTTATTCGGTCTTCGTCATGAGACGTAAATAATGTTGTTATTTACAAAATGAGAACATGTACGAAGTATATGATGTAAATCTATAAAAATCCATGCACTGTCTCAGATTGTGAATGGGCTTAAAATAAACTAGAGTAGAGAGTTTTATATTACATTATATTTCTTATATACCTCTTTAGTGGCGATTGCAATAAAATACAGATTGCTTAATGTAGCCGAGGTAGTGAGCACTGTTTATTGTGCTACAATGCAAAGAAGTGGTTTAAATACTCGGTGATTTAGTACATTGTGCAGTAGGTCACCAATCAAAATACATTTTAAAGTATACTCATCATCTTATATGCTATTTATATACGCATTTTTTAATACAACGAATAGAACCTAATATTAAAAATTATTTTTCATGAATCCTTTTTTGCAACAACATTAATATTATTACGAAACAATTTTCATATCTCAACTATAAGCTCATTTTCGTAAAATCCAGTATATACAGTGGAATGTTATTTTAAATTTTGACGAATCCAAATATATTTTCAGAATTATTAATGTTTTTTAAAATCAAGAATTGATATTTAAAATGAAGAAAAATATTATCTTACTCCTACGATAATATAATCCACAAAAAAGAATTAAATGCATTGATTTGGTGACAAAATCTGCGTAAGGAACAACTAAAGCTAAAACTTAATTATATTGATTATTATTTTTCATTATTAAACTGAAATATGCCTATAAATTGGTATACATATCTGGTATCGTTATATCAGAGTGTCTGTAAAAATAATCTCACTTCTTGAACATATTCTTATTGTTAGAGCTTATTTTAATATGTATTTAAATCTTAGTTAACTATTGAATTTTTTTATTAAAAAAATTTCGCTAATATTAATAATTTTTATTTCCTCTCTCTTTAATGGCACAATTTAATCAAATATAAAATAAAATTATTAGTTATGTTACATTACATTCATATTTCATAAGTTCTTCTTTATTGAAATTGTAATGAAATATTCTATAACATTTCTGTAACAAAAATAATTGCAAATAATTTTTAAGATTAAAATGAAATTAAAAATATATTTTTTTCTGATACATTAAATTGAAAATATATTTTTTAATGATACGTATATTATTTATTAGAAACAATATCTCTGAAACTTATAATTATCTATTAATGTATATACTTCTATCTTCGCAAAATATTATTTAATAATTTATTAGAAATATAATATGCATATTTTTTTATAAAATAATAACACTCATTTATTCATCATATATATTGTGCTCAAGCTTGTATATTTTAACTGAAAATAAAATAACTAAAATTATATGCGCGATTTTCCTGTACTGCACAACAGTATAATTATATAATGTAGCACTTTTATAAGTCCAAATTTTTAAAATCTTAATCTATATTTTTTAAATATTTGTTATAACGAAGTGTAATGCAAATTACAAGCAAATTATCAATTGAAACACATATTCTAATAACTTTATACAAGTTTCTAATCATGCTCATAAAAATTTCACAGAATAACAACTTAGAATTTTGAATACGATCTATGATACACGTATTTAAATAGCCGCACACATTTCTACACGCATATATGTCTTTGATAAAGTTATAAATGAGCTTTATAGCATTATATTCAAACATATTTGACTTCTAATATTTATTTTCTGATATCTAACGCGTCCAGTATTAATATTCAGCAAATGGCGCGTGTTAACAAATCAAAAATCCATTTTAATGTCGAGTAACGACATCGCAGGAATCCACGAGAAATGTTCTCGAATATACATTTCAGTATTTAGTACAATACTGTGATCTTCAAGTTCTTTACTCTTTACAAAGTACGCAGTATTAAATATTAATTATCTCTGTACAAAATTAGATTAAATGTTTGCATATTTAATTACACTAAAATCTTTGAAATATATCAAAATTGGAATATATATATATTATACGAATGAAATTAATGTGTATTGCGTCTTACATGATCGATAAATATATATGTCTTTAAAATGTCTTACTTTGATATCAAAATTGCTATTTTCGTGCAAATAATAGATAGAGAATCATAAATATTGCTATTTCCAGTTATCTTAAAAATAATGAATATAAAGAGTAAAATAATGTGAAGATTGTTCGTAATAAAGATTTATTAGATTATAATTAATTTACAAACTTTAGTATGTACAATTCATGTACTCCTACATTTGCTTTTTTCTTAGTACGATAGTATTTGAACAGTGATATTTTATTTAGGATTAATCTGCACACATTGTTGCGCCAATTTATCCATATCTTTATTAAAACATTCAAAAAATCGTGAATAACGTACATTTTTAAAAAATAGCATTAAATAACACTCATAAACATTAATTAAATCTTTGCAGTGAAAATAGCTTTTTGTGAAAATTATATATTAAGACGACGCATAAGTTTAAAATAATAAAAAACTAGAAAAGTTCCATTTTTTATAACATACAGATAATCGAAATGCAATATATATTTATTGTATTAATATTTAAATAAGATTTATTAAGACATATATATAATTGAATATAGAATTTTAATATTATGCTATGCAAAAGCTACTGTCGCTGTTTTGTTGCAGTATTATAGACTTCGTATTTTTCAAACTATATATATATACAAAGATTTTTTTTCTACACCACATACATTCGCAATATTCATTCAGTTTCACAACAATCAATAATTCTTGATAAACTGACTTGTCGGACACGCTTTTGAATCGCTTCAGGGTTTACATACTTATTCATATATTGTTCGATATGACTTTCGTATTTTCATACGAACTTCTTTACACATATGTCGCTAGAAATGTCACAGATTTATTAATAATACACAGACTGTGTGTGCCAAAGGTACTAGCTGTCATATTATATTCTTAATGGAATGTAAAATTGACATTCTTTTAATGTTGGACTCAAAGTTTAATTATTTATAAAGCTTAATTTAATTTATTATTGAATATTATTCCCAGAGACAATTGTGAAAAAAACTGACTCTACTTTGCTGACAAAATTAGATCAATAATGTTTCATAAATTATGGACTATAAGTGGCAATATATGTATTTAGTATATATATACAAATAAGATATTTTATAATTAAAAATAAAAATCCATATCGATATCTTCAATAGTTTCTTAAAAAATATGTGTTTAACTGCTATTTGTCAGCAATGTATAGTGCAGTTTCTCAGTTAAACTTATTTTACAACAAATTCAATTTCATTTATAAAATCTCAACATTAGGAAAATTATTCTTTATATCGGCAGCGCTTGCAGTCCGTGTATATTTATATCAGTCAAATAATGTTAGCAATTATCTATCGATTACGACAATTCATCTTGAATCGAGCATTAAGCGAGATTATCTATTTTAAACAATGTGTTTCCATTCAAAATAATAATCAAAACATATTACGTGCTAAGAATTAATCATATGTAGTATATGGAATGTATAATAAAATTAGCACAAGTCGGCTATAAATAATCGAAAAAAACGTATATGATATGAGATTAACACTAAAAATGCTTCGTCATATTATCACTACAAATAGTTAAATCTAAACACAGTATATATGCGTACCTATCGTTCGCATAGCACACCTGAAGCCTGATAATTTCTTTATCCTTTGGCTAAAATTTATCGTTTTTTCATACAGATAACGAGTTTAATTACGATTGTCACCTCGATCAATATCCATTACGTTTTTACGACACAACAATAAAAACTTGAACAGATATTTTATAAATATAAATTTAAAGTGTAAGACAGGCAATAAGAGCCAAATCGCGGATGACAGTGCGTTATCCCAACGAAACTAAAATTTTTTTCCGTTAGAATTATTATAAATACCTGTGCACAAGGCACCAAATTTTACTTGGTCACGGCCAAGATTTAAAATTGGAATAATCTCTACAAGAGATTTAATTCCATACATCCTCTCTTCGCCCCTAAGGAAATAAATGCGAGAGAAAAATATAGATCCGAAAGTCGCTGAATCGGGAATCGAACCCGAGACCTTTCGACTGCTCTTTTAACTGAGCTATTCAGATCCTTTCGATTCTATACTTTTCTCTGCTATATTTATATATAATAATGTTGATATTTTATATATATGTATTGAGAAATAAAATATTTTCAGACCGGACTAACAATATCACTGCCGAAATATGATACACAGTTCATTAGATGATATTTATGGATCTAGATTCGGTATTGCTAAAACAAATTAACTAAAGCGAACGACGTATCATCTAACGACGAAAGATAACATTGCAATAATAAATGTTGGTACGCTCAGGCCAAAACTATTTGCGGACGCACAGTGGAGATAGTCTTTGTGATAATACGTGGAAGGTGGATGTTCATCCCCTGGTTTGCACCATTCGCCTCGTGCTTTAAATTCGGCCTTAAAAAATAAAATAAGTTTGATTATTAAATATCGTATTATTGTTCATTAAATATCGTTTTATCGCGTTACACATCCATACTTATTTTATAAAATAAGTATGGATGTGTAACGCGTAGTAAGTTATAAATAAATATATGTATATTTATATAATATTCATACTTGACAAATATCACGACAAGGTGGACAGATTAAAGCCCCTTTGTGCAGCCAACCGTTCTGCATAATTCTTATAATAATTTCCTGTCCAGCATGAAAGCAAGTGTAAGTATAATTGCCGACCTGAAAAGAGACACAATTTTCTCCTCATTTGTTCGTCACATCGCATTCATTAATTTAATATACTTATACGATAGTCTTTTTATATAATCAGATAAGAAATATATTTTTATCGGCTCTCAATATTAATAATAATAATATAAATATGTTATTTAAAATCGGCCGATAGAGCACAAGCGCGAAAAATTAATTCTTTTTATATAAGCATTTATATTTTTCGTTATGTCCATATCGTAAGGAACTCACCATAATGTGCAGTCTGCCGACCTCGCATTTATACAAATAACAACCGGAGCCCCAATGCTGCCATTGTCGCGCTTGTTTGCAAGTTCTTTCCTCCCACATGTCATTAGTGTGGTCGAAGCATCTCGAATGAGGTCCATACTTCTCTAATGCGAAATTCTTGTCCGAATCTAAAAGAAGGATGTATTTCGAAAAAATATGTGCATTTCTTTTCAGTGCGCAAAATGTGTGAGTATGTGTGTGCGCGCGTCTTGACTTACGCGGATTATTCTCCTCGTAGAGACAGTGAGAACCCCTGACTACTATATTCTTTGCTCTCCACGTGAATTCCTGTATGTAAGGACAATAATCCGCCAGAGATACCGAACCGCCGTAGTATTGTTCCTCTCCCGATGGTACGTGAGGTATTGAATCGAAGTTCTGCAATAGAAGAAGTCGTCAATCCAGATTCTTCACATACCACAAATATTCTCATATACGATCGATGTAGTCATCGTTTACGTAGTTTATTTTGCTTTCTCTCTCTCATTCTCTTTTATTTATTTTTAAATATATTCCAATAAATCATTATACATATATACTTTTTCCTCTTAATTCTTATTAATAAATATTTTTACCTGGTATTTCTTGGGCAGTGGTTGCGGATGTTTTACTAGATTACATAAGGCCACTGAACTTCGATCGTCCGTACATTCGGTTTGCAACGGATCCTGTTTCACCTTGTTGCAAAAAGGATGTATCGATTTTCCCTGAAGCATTAAAATATATTCTCGCATGGCTATTCCAATACGGTTCTCTTTTCTGAAATCTTAAAATACATACGATAGCGGGGATGATTTGGAGGATATCCATTCCTTACAGGATTTCATAGCAAAGCTGCATCCTAGATTTCTCCCCCATCCTAGCTCTTGCGCCATTGAATAGTTGGCACTGTACCAGCCGGTATCTTCCATGAGAGCGAGTGTTATTCTCGAGTAAACTGGATTTTGCGTATGTGTACCCGTCATCGCTTCGTTCTGAATAAACGGAAAAATCAATTTTTAGAATAGCAACCGTTGTTTTTTTTTTTTTTTCAATTGAAATATTCAAGTGCAATCTATAAGATACATAGATTCGCGAAAATTAAAACTTTTTCGAATTATTGCATCGTAGACGCGAAGAACAATAGTTAAATCGGGAATTATCCGGGCGTTACGCACCTCGAACACACGCTTCTCCCAATGCGTGAGAGCCGTGCCGTCCTCACCCTGATCCTCCAATTCCGCGCCCTCAAGTTCCGGGCAATTGAAGTGAGCTTGAACCTCAGCGCGGACACGAGGCGTGACTATCATTTGCATGGTCCTCTCCACGTTACCGCCGTGCACTTGCCAGCGGGGCCTGACCACAGTTTTGATCGTGTTCTCGCTCCATTGGTGCGTTTGCAACCTACCCCGAAACGAGAATCGAACATTATTAGCATATGCTGATTCGAAAGCTGCCGTTGTCATCCGATGTAATAATTTTACCGCTGTGATATCATCGCTGCGGATTATATTCGCGAATGCTCTAAACTTGATTTGAATTTCGAATGAAACTAACATATTCCACTGGAAAATAAATAATTGAGAAACAATAATTGAAACCAAATAATTGATTCCTCGCTTCGTATCGACAATCTACCATCTATACCGCAAAATGGAAAATCAATACATTAATCTGTACGTATTTCGAATCACATCGAAACGTTTGATTATTTATTCAGTTTCTTTTTTTCGTTTGTTTTCTCTTTGTGACTTTTTTTCTAGATATACGTTGTATGTTTCCTATATATACACGCTTTTTTTTCGATTTATATTAGACTCCATTAAAATTACAGAAATTTTTTTATAACATATTTATTATATGTCAAGCGTTGAATATCTTCGTGACTTCGCAATGTCGGGCAGATAAATATAATTGTACTTCAATCTCATCCTTTCTCCCTCATGTGCTCTCTCTCTCTCTCTCTCTCTCTCTCTCTCTTTCTCTCTGTCTATCTTTCATATAAAATGATTGATGCGATACGTCGGCGAAACGCTGTTTTCGACAGCGAGCGGCCCCTTCTATATCCTATTTCGACATGACGGATGAATTCGCGAATGGCCATTTTGCCAGGAACGAGCATGAGGTGAAAAATATTATTACGCTTGAGCATCAGCGCAAAATTGCTCGTCAACGTATCTCATATGCATAAATTGTTAGAAATAGTGCAGAAATAGTATATAACATGATAGATCGCGAGTATAGAAATCGAATGTAACTTAGCTTAAAAAAAAATTATTTCAATTTTATATTAAAACGCACAACCCCAAGGAGAGATTAAATTCATGTAAAACTCCTCTGCGCACGTAAAAACGCTTTCGAATCTCATTGAAATACTTTCAAAGAATTATTTCGCAGCAAAATACATGAGTTTTGAAAATATTTCACCGCTTGAAATATTGTTACATTTCTTATCTATTTGCAATTGCAATTTAAAACAGTGGTACAATTAAATTATCAAATTCGCATGTTTGAACAATGCGAATAATTTGCATTTAAAATAGGTAATTAAAACGAATAAAGAAAAAACTAATATAGATGTGAAATTAATTAATGGAAAAAATTTAATCAGCATTATTGATCATTTACTAAACAAAAATAATTATAGGAATATTTTTATATTATATATACAAGAATATTTTTATGAAAAGCAAACAATTTTGAAGCTAATTGAAAAGCTAATGGCATAGTAGATATTTTAATTATTTATTCTAAAAGCAAAAGTGGCTCATTATTTTCTAAACAATTACTTAGTATAATACCATCGTATTACAAAATATAAATTTTATTGAAATTTAAGATTATAATGATCTCCCTACTCTCTCTCTCTCTCTCTCTTTCTCTTTCTATCTTCGCATGTGTTGCCGCGGATTAGCGTAAACCTTAAACGTAAGAGGATCCCCGTAGAGATATTCAGACGCGGTAGGGTGAGAATGCTCGCGTTCACGAGCAGATGGATGGCAGGAAATGCAAGGAAACGCTGGAATTTGTAACGGAGAACGTGCAGATTGCGAAGCCGAGCGAAAACGGACGGAAAGGACGACTAGAACTAAAACGAGGAGTAGCGAAGAGCGACGAGAGGTAAGAGGGTAAGAGAATTTCTAGTGAGATAGACGAAAGAGGAGGAGGCAAGAAAATTAAAAGGACAAGCGGCTGCGAGAAAGAGGGAACGAGCAGCAACTATCTCCGACGAAAATCTCTCTGTCTCTCAATTTGAGTTCTGGGACGTCGTCGAGAAAGAATCAGAACTCCTCGGTAAAAAGTTATCGAGAGTTTAAGAAGTTCTGCATACATTACTGAGTGGCTTCATAATTCTCTAACGTTATGCAATGCGATGAGTGATGTTCTATCAGAGAAAGAGCGGGAGGAGAGACAGAATTTTTATTTCTGTCATCATTCGAAATGCAAATCAACGCGAAAATTCATGAGATCTGGAAAAAAAAACAGTCACTTGGAGAAACGTATTGAGAACATACTGGAAAATTATACGCCGGAACGAGCTTTAAGACAAAGCGGAAAACGCCACCGTCATTCCCGAAATCTATTATAACTCGAAACGCCATGGATATATATTGTTGGAATTTCGCAATTTGAAGTGAAAAGATGTCGATTTTCACCACTTGGTAAAGAGACTGGCGAGCAAGATAGCGAATAGGAAACAGAATGAAGCAACAATGATAAAGAACAGAAGAAGTAACTGCGAGAGGTAACGGATACGAAACGGGAAAACAGAAGGAAGGGCACGCGAAGAAAGATTGTGCGGAGAAGAACTTGCATCTGCCAACGCCGGAAGCCAGTTCGTTACGACCCGTCGACTTGGATAGAACAGAATACCAGGAATTTTCCAATTTTAAAGGCAGATACACCATCAGACAGCCGATAAGAGGAGTCGAGAAAAAAAAGCCAACACAGTCGAATAATAAATTGACAAAGAAAACAAGATATCCGTTTCTGTCAAGTATACGAAAGCATTGTATATGTGATAATAATATCAGCAAAATTAAATCTAAATTATCTGACTGAAAACTATACTACGGAAAATGATATAAAAATAATCATATTACAAATTAAATTAAGAGAGTTTGATCGATGATATATCATAATATATATCATCTCGTATAATGAATAATATCTGTGCAATATTTTAATTTTGAAAAATCCTTAATGGTAACTTTATGCTAACGGTTTAAGCTTTATCTATCGGTAGAAATCTACATAAAAGGAATCGATCGCAAATCGTGCGATATTTGGTATTCTAACTAGAGTATCAGACATTTCTTGAATACGTAACTGTATCGTATTTGCAATCGAATTTAAAATATAATCTCCGTGGTCGATAAACTCTTAATTTTTGTATGTGCTAATAATTTAATGCCTAGAAAATTAATTTCGTTCTTTCGCGTGCGAAGAAAGGAACTTTAACATAAGATGTAGAAGGTAAAACGTACTTTTCATTAAGGGGTGGTTTTCCGGTATCGCTTCTTCTGGTCGTCCTGGGCTCGCCATTCTCGTCCCTGTAGAAAGCGTATAAGCTCACAGAAAATCCTAAAGCGTGCAGGATTTCGTGTTTAACAGTGCTGAGCAACGTTTCCAACTCCTGCGGTTTCGTGCTGATGCTTCCTGGGCAGAGGTTGGCATGGCCAGCTATCGGCCTGGAAGCAATTTGGTTCACTTTAGCAGCTGTGAAATCTCCTTTCGTCTTTATTTTAATTACAGCATCCCAAACTTGTGGATTGTTATTTCCTCGCGCAAAATATCTACTCAAAAACTCATCAAGATATTTACAAAAATATATACATGTACATATATGATATCCTCGTATTGTAAATGAAAACGTGTGCAAAACTTATTATAATTATCATGATAGATATACTTTAATCGATTAAAGACTGTATAAAATGACATACGCGCGAACATTATGTAAAATACATATATTTTTTACACTCAAATATTTCAAGAATTTTCCCATAAGCATGCGGCAACCCGACGCACGAATATCGTCGATCTATCACGATCAGACGTCGTGCGAATAATAAAATTCGCGCAACGCCATTTACATCGACCGTGGTACGACGTGCACGACGTATGTACCTGACAGACAAATTTAATCTACTCAATATGCGTTCACGTTTCGGCAGATTCATAAAGTTAGACATCAAATCACACACAACGTCGAGCTTTGCTTTTGCAATTTTCGATTACGAATTAGGTTCTATAAAATATTTTCTAAATCACGAACTATTTTTTCCACGCGTATTTAAAATAATCAATAATTTTAACAATAAAAGCTATTTACTCATAAATAAATTATTTATTTAACACAATGGTTAATACAATTAAGAACAGTTATTTAGCAACAAATTATAGCAATTCGAAATAAAAAGAGACTCGGCAATTCCACATTTAACGATTATTTGTTGTATAAATAAAATAAAATATTTCTTTTTAATTAAAGTCATTAATATGAATGTTCGCCATTGTTGAATCGCTTGCACAAACAATTTCTCTTATAAATCCTGTCAAATATTTAATCCGACGTCCTCATGAAATATATTCATACCAGATGTTGTTTGCCTTCGTTCTATCCTTCTGTTCATACAAACGGAAATTGTGCATGTTTCAATCATGTGACAGACACTTATTCAATATATTATTAATTATTATGTTCTCTCAAATGTCATAGTATCGCGAAAAGTGAAATTACGCATTTCATGTGTCTCTATTATATAGATAACGATACTAATATGTATTTTTATTTTATACGCTAAAATTCTCATAATTTAAAAAAATCTCTTTATACTTTTGTCAAATCTGAATCCTGACATAAGTAAAACTTAGTTAAATCTAAATTAATACAATTGTCGCTCGTATATTGAAAACAAAGTGATAAATATAAGGCCAACTTATCGAGCTGAATATTCGAGATGTTCAGTCAACTACCATTTATTACATGTATAAATTATAAAACTACAGTCATTATATTAAAACTAACGCAAATTACAATCATTCTATAAACGTTTCGACCGCACGCGGTCTTCTTCAGTATAATTATTGAAATATAAATTCTTACAATTCACATAATATCGAAATTTAATTATAGTTATTCAGAATCAAGAGTTTTTGAGCAATTAACGCGTGTTTCAATTCGTCCTGTCCAACAATGTTCGCCTCGATATGATCCCTGATTTTGTTCAGATCTCGGATAGTTTCATCGTTAATATGCGAGAAATTAACCCGTTCCGTAGGCGCTGCGATTAATAAAAATTACCGATCAACGTATGTCCAAATTATAATATGTATCCCTACAATTGGTAGTATGCTTACCTATCATCGTTCTTCTTGACAATTTTGCTACTTATTAACAGTTATTAAGGATGACACATAACAAACCAACAATACAGAAAGACAGCTCATTTTAAACTCTACCGAGTCATTTCCTATACTTTTTGTTCTTTCTATGTTGGCCTGTCTCTCTATAATGCTCCCCTAGATATGATGTGTTCTATCCGATGATTAATTTTGTTAAAAATCAGATCAAGAGGGTAACCATTGCTTCTGAGTATATTAATAATTAACTCCAAATTTTTATTAAAAATAGTGGATGTGATAGCAATAGACATCTGTCTACAAGGTTATATATTATTCCAATTTTGTGGCATAATGGGATTGTTTCCTCGGTAAAAAATAAAAATTGTATGGTAGGGTATAGATGTCTCAACAAACTGGATAATATTATTAAAGCGCAGAAAGATAAAACTAAACATCCATGCAATTCGAATGTGGTTTATAAGATCAGTTGCAATAATTGTAATGCATCTTATGTAGGCCAAACAAAGAGGCAATTGCAGACGCGAATGAAAGAACATAAAAATAATATTAGATTGGACTCAACGAAACATTCAGTAATTTCTGAACACATAATAAATGAACATCATACTTTTAATTGGGACAATGTTAAGATCATGGACAACGAAAATAATTATTATAAAAGACTCATTTCTGAGATGCTACATATCAAGGAACAAAAATGGACTAAATTTAAACAAAGATACTGAGTTACTTAGCGAGTCGTATTTTGATATTTTGGATATATTAGCGAACAAGAAATAATAATAGGACAAATAGGACATTAACGAGTAAAACATAGATATTAGATCATATATAAACACGCACGCTCTCCGATCAAGTAGAGTTTAAAATGAGCTGTCTTTCTGTATTGTTGGTTTGTTATGTGTCATCCTTAATAACTGTTAATAAGTAGCAAAATTGTCAAGAAGAACGATGATAGGTAAGCATACTACCAATTGTAGGGGATACATATTATAATTTGGACATACGTTGATCGGTAATTTTTTATTAATCGCAGCGCCTACGGAATGGGTTAATTCTCGCATATTAACGATGAAACTATCCGAGATCTGAACAAAATCAGGGATCATATCGAGACGAACATTGTTGGACAGGACGGATTGAAACACGCGTTAATTGCTCAAAAACTCTTGATTCTGAATAACTATAATTAAATTTCGATATTATGTGAATTGTAAGAATTTATATTTCAATAATTATACTGAAGAAGACCGCGTGCGGTCGAAACGTTTATAGAATGATTGTAATTTGCGTTAGTTTTAATATAATGACTGTAGTTTTATAATTTATACATGTAATAAATGGTAGTTGACTGAACATCTCGAATATTCAGCTCGATAAGTTGGCCTTATATTTATCACTTACAAGGGACATGTCACAACTGTCCGGAACCGATTTGATTCTCCTTGAAATATGTTGTTAAATACACAAATCTAAAAGACACGTATTTTTTTATACGTGCGCAATTTGAGTTTTAAGGGGTGAAACACCCCTTTAAAGAATAACGGTATTTTTCTTTAGGATCAAATATCTGCTAAACTATAAGAGATATAAAGAAAAAACGTACAACAAATTTTAATGGCTTGAAGAGTACTTTAAAGTTATATGAACAAAAATTTTTTTTTTTTTTTTTTTTTTTTAAAAACCCTCACCACCTAATTTTTTTTTTCAAAATTAAAAATTTTGTTTTACCTAATTTAAAGCTTATTTTTTTCCAAATTCAACCATGTGTAATAAAGTTATGTTACGAAATATCATTTTCGAAAATTAATTATAAACGCTCCCGTATATACGCTCATCCGTGCTATGTGCGTAAGTAATTACCGTCGAACAATAAAATATATAAAAAATGTTTTTGTATAATTCTTATTTATGTTTTCTATGTATTTATAACTGTGTATTGTGTATATTTAGATTTTTTTAAAAATGTATTTGCATTTTATATTATTCACTCATTATACACATTACAATAATGATATTCGACAAAAAAATGTTTCAAACATAATGACTTCTTGCACCAAGAACATCTTACTACAGCTATATTATTGCAACCTTCGATATCACATTTTGTTAAAGTTTCGTCTAAACTAAAGTGTACTGGATTTTCGAATTCGTCTGGTCTTTCATTCGTATAACCACTTTTAAACCACGAATATTTAAATAAGTTTTGATATCGTGGGGATGACAATTGATTATGTATCAAAGATTGCAATTTTATTATATTATTTCGTTCATGTAAGTTTATATTACTTTCCAACAGTAAAACCGCATCTGAAAATCTTTTAGCAAAATTTTTCCAAATTCTGAATCCATAAACATCTAATGGTTGTATTTTCCCTGTAGTTCCTTTCGGTATTATCATAGTAGTAATATGTGTTCCAGGAGGTGTTAAATCCGAAATCATATTGGGGCAATGTCCAGTCCATGAATCGATAAGAAGAACGCTATTAGGACCAATGTTTGCGAAATAAGCTTCTTCTAACCACATTTTAAAATGATCTGTACAAAATATAAATGTTAATTTAATAGTTTTTTTATGACTCTTATTAAATTGTTAAATAAAATAAGGTTGTTAAAAAAGTAATTATAAAAGGAAAATACCTGATGTCATTTTACCAGATTTCGATGCTTTTACAATAACATTTTCTGCTTTAAATAAATTTTCTTGTACTCTTGGTCCAAATTTACCATTAGCTTCTTTTAATACAATAAATAAAGGGGACAACAAATTGCCATTACAGGATATTATTGGTTGTATCGTATATGAATGGGTTGTTGATGATATGGATTGCACGACACGTTCTACTTTCTTTTCTCCCTGGTTAGACAATGATCTTCCAGAGTGAAGTTCCAATTGGAAACCACTTTGATCTGAATTGTAAATATTTTCAGATCCAAACTGTTCAATAAGAGGTTTTACTGTTTCCAGAAAATCATCAGCTGATTTTTGCAAATCAGCAGAATCTTCTAATGTTCTTCTAGTGACAAACTTCGTAACTTTTCTTGAAACAATTCGGTGAGACTTCTTAAATCTTGCTATCCAACTGTGAGATGCTTTAAATATAGGATTTAAATTTCCTATTTCTTCTTGAGCTTGTAAAGCCCATCTTTTTAAATCAATATCATGAACCATGAATCCTGATTCGACAGCTGCAGTAAATTTATCATGTGTAAATTTGGAGATGTAAGATAATTTTTCTGTACGACTTCCACCTGATTGTATTTGTTCTTCCCATCGCCTTAACTGACGTTCAGATGAAACTCTTCTAAATTTATTTTGTACTACTCTTAGAGGACGATTCCTTTTTCTGTCATTACTGTTTTCATCAGTGTCCCGAAATCGCCAATACTCAACAGCTCGTCTTTTATAAGAACTATCAAAATTTGTATCATCATTTGAACAATGAGGATGAGAATTTAAACTATCTTCATGCCATGCTTCTTCGTCATCTTCAATTATTTCAAAACTATGTAATTTATAAGGTTCTTCATAATCGAGATATATTTCTTCCGTTACTTCCACCCCATTATAATGAAAAACGCTATCCAGTAATATTTTTTTAATGTTTTCCTTTAATTCCACTTCTGCTTCAGTTACTGGCGTTTCTGTTAAATATATTGAATTTATTGACACCAATAAAAGTCTAACAACGTTAAGCGGATTGATAATCATATTCAAAGATGTTATATTTTGCTTTCTATTGCAATAAAAGAACAGTTTACACAGATATTATTACAACGAAAAGACTACACCGACTGTGAGAATTATGCTGCTACATGAACAATTTATATTAACTTATCAGAAATACGTCATCACATAATCTTATTTTATTATTTATTTTAACGTATTAAAGATTTTATTGTAAAAATTATAACTTATCTGGAACACGTACACATAATCTTATCTTATGATTCATTTAACGTAAGATATAAAATTTGTTTATGCCAAATATTGCGACATTGGTATTCGCAAGATTCAATTAAAAAATAATTTTATTATAAAATATAATTGTTTTTAATTTTTATAGAAGAAATTAAATATTAAAGAAATAATAAGAAAGCAGGGGGTATATTTAAAAAATTCTTATTAATTATATTTAAAAATTTTTTTTAAATCTAAATATACACAATACGCAGTTATAAATACATAGAAAACATAAATAAGAATTATACAAAAACATTTTTATATATTTTATTGTTCGACGGTAATTACTTACGCACATAGCACGGATGAGCGTATATACGGGAGCGTTTATAATTAATTTTCGAAAATGATATTTCGTAACATAACTTTATTACACATGGTTGAATTTGGAAAAAAATAAGCTTTAAATTAGGTAAAACAAAATTTTTAATTTTGAAAAAAAAATTAGGTGGTGAGGGTTTTTTAAAAAAAAAAAAAAAAAAAAATTTTTGTTCATATAACTTTAAAGTACTCTTCAAGCCATTAAAATTTGTTGTACGTTTTTTCTTTATATCTCTTATAGTTTAGCAGATATTTGATCCTAAAGAAAAATACCGTTATTCTTTAAAGGGGTGTTTCACCCCTTAAAACTCAAATTGCGCACGTATAAAAAAATACGTGTCTTTTAGATTTGTGTATTTAACAACATATTTCAAGGAGAATCAAATCGGTTCCGGACAGTTGTGACATGTCCCTTGTTAGTTAAATCTATTATAGATATTATTCTTATTAAATATTATTTTCACCGAATAACTTACCGGTCTAAAGCAGCTTCCTGTTGACAATGAGCAGCATAGGCTACTGTTAAACCCTTATGACATCTCTCAGTCTGCATAGCAGACACATAGAAGACAAAATCGGCACCGTCGATTCCTGGACCTGCTTTACTGCCCTCAGCAATTCCACAATTGTGTCCTGTCGCGTTGCAAGTTCTGCAGACCTGTATACACGTGCATATTCAAGAATATACATACATAGCAAGTTATTTGAGAGAACGTTATTAATGCTTTAAGAAGATTGAATTTAATTTCGGAATAATTATCAATTGAAGAAAAAAAAAAGAAAAATATCCTTTGCGTCTTTTGACATCAAGAATTTTATAATAAAACGACACAGAAACATAAATGACAGAGACAGTCGTGTTCATCGCATAATGTCAGACGCAAAGTATTGTAAAGGAGATTGTAGCCTGTCAACTACGAAGTATCCGGAAACATTAATGTTGATGAACAGGAGTGGAGAATCGCATTACTGTCAAGACACCTTTGGCGAGAAGGTAAATAATTTTACGCCATCAGCGAATACTGTCAACGACAAGGACGATAATGCGTCCTTCGTTCTAATAAGTTATCCGACACCAATTCGCCTCTCAGGACTACTCATCAATTAGCGCCTCTCGTTTCCAGGCTGCTATCGTTAAAGTACATCCCTTCAGTACAAGCCTCGGTAATCGATCAAGATGAAGCATCAATGAAATATCGAGCCTCTTATTTCGATGGATATACGCGTTCGATGTGAAAATGTAGAGATCGTGCCATCTGTCACGATCACAGGCTATCATCTCTCATGAGCGAAAAACTCTTCGAATTAAATTATATTTTCATATATTATGAGCAATATTTATAAGTACATAATATTTGGTAGAAATGTGTATGAAATTACATATTAAAATAGATTCAATAACACAAATAATTATAACTGTTAATATAAATTATTGTAAATAATTATAGTATTTGTGTTGATCATTAATTTTGATAATTGTAAACTTAATGAATCGAAGTATATTCTGGAGATAATATTAAAACTTTTAATGAATTTTAACAATATCAGATAACATTAATAATTCTAGACCAACATAAAACGCTTATATCGAAGAAATAAACATCTGTCTATATCCGATATCATAAATAATGTTTCATTTTTAATATATCAGAATTTACTTAAGTAATACCAGTCATAATTTAGTTTAAAATTAAATTTAATCAGACAAAATATCAAAATTAAAAGTTTATTCATTTCAAATTAATAATATTTTTCAATAAAATTCTTTTAAATAAAATATATGTGACAGAGCTCATGTTTAACGCGCGAATGAGTTCTTGTTCCTTATAGAAAATAATTAAAGATTATAAATAGTAATAATAATTATTCGCAATATTTATTTTTCTCATAATTTATTAATTTTTATCGTAAAATTTTTATCGCCAAACTTTATAGGCTAAAATAAATGTTAAATTTTATAGTAATTAAAAAAGTATTCTCATAAAAAGGTATGAATTTCTAATCTTTAAACACCGTAATAAATAGAATCAAGCAAGCAATGTGAATTTTATATAGTTTGCCATTTGCACGAAATAGGCCACTCGATCTACTCCTTTGACTAGCTTCGATATTTATTGCACGGTTTAACTTGACTTAGACAACTTATCGGGTAATTACTTACGTCAAGATGGTCCTCCGGGACGACTACTTCGCCGCACATAGTAACAGTGCGACACGTATTTATACAGTGTGTGTGGTGATCCTTAACGAAAACTTGACTACTCTCGCATTTCCTGCAAGCACGTCAAAATATAGATATAGAGCTCATGAGAATTTAGAATTGAGTGAAATATTGAATTTTTATTAGCACATTGAAAATTACTTAATTGGAAATAAAGTTCATTAGAATTAAATTATAAAATGTGTTATACATTAAAAATAATTATTCAACATTATTTAATAGATTCATATAATTATAATATATATTAAATATGTATTTGCAAACTTATATAATATAAATATAAAGGTTTTAATATAAATTCTTACAGCAATGCTAAGTTTTAATTCAGCCATTCAGAAAAAATCTTTCGTGTCGTCATTCACATAAATTTGTCGTAAATTAACTCGTTTTAAAGAAGGAAATAGCTATCAAGTAAAAAGTGCGGGATTTTATTTTCTCATTTTATTGAACACGTTCTCTGCAAGAATGTGCGGAATTACTAGCCGTCACTTAAGTGAAAACATCTAAGAAACTCAGTTAAAATTACAGATACTAAAAAAAAAAAAAACGTAAAAGAGTTTCTTTGGATATGAAGAAATGTAAAATATTTACAAAGCATTATATGGAAGGATTTACTTAAAGAAAAACTAATGACAATATAATACTACTATAATTGTAGATGCTTCTATATATTAAACATTGCAATTTATCGGAACTGTATCTCTTATTGGTTTGAGATTACTAAGTTCTATATATAAATTAATCTCGAACTTATATATGGAGAAAATAGGCGAAAAAAATATAGGTCCGAAAAGTTGCTAAAGCGGGAACCTATATTTTTCTCGCCTATTTTCTCCATATATAAGTTCGAGATTAATTTATATATGGAACTTAATAATCTCAAACCAAGAGATACAGTTCCGAAGAATTAATTTTTCGCGTTTGGGCTCTCTATTGGCCGATTTAAAATATCATATATTATTCTTAAATTATGAGTTTAACAAGGCTCTATAATATTAAATATAAATCTAAAGTGTATAGACAGGCAATAAGAGCCAAATCGCGGATGACAGTGCGTTATCCCAACGAAACTAAATTTTTTCGTTAGAATTAAATACCTGTGCACAAGGCACCAAATTTTACTTGATCACGGCCAAGACTTAAAATTGGAATAATCTCTAACATGAGATTTAATTCCATACATCCCCTCTTTCCCTCCTAAGGAAATAAATGCGATATTATTCTTAATATTGAGAGCCAATAAAAATATTTCTCATTTGATTGCAATTTACGTTATATCTAGTCGTGTTTTTTCTAATGCAAATTAATTATTTTTCAAACTTTATTTCTATAAATAGGTGATTTAATTATAATTAAATTATACTTCAGGAAGCATTTTCATATACATTCGTCAATAATAGTAGATTTTTTAAAATCGTATTAAATCTTTTCCTTTTATGCCGTATAGCTAATAATACTTATCAATTTCTTACAATTATGGCAAAAATATCTGGAATCTCAGATTACGAATATTTAAATCTCAAGTTAATATCTTTTAATATAATTTAATATAAAATAATTTAATATAATAGTTAATATAATAGATTAAGATTTCAAATGGATTATTATATAACCGTGCTAAATTATTATATCAACGACATTGACGTGATATCGCAATGGAGTTGAATATAGACTACATCTCTGCTCTTTACATGGAGTGATCTTCCGAAAGGCCATCTTCGCACGCGTTTTTGAACAATATTATCCACAAGAGGAAGTATAGCAGCGATGCTTCGTGACATCCCGATGGAACTAAAACTACCATCGCAGGACAACGATCTTCCATCGACACTGTGAACGATATCGACCGACTAGTATATACTTTTATAGAGTAAAGTGGATACGACTATATCAGATACGATAGCGCTACCGGAAAGCAAGGATAAAGAAAGCTCCAGGGAGAGGTGAGCACTAAAGAGAAGGTGCACTTCGCTAAATAAACGTCGTGACACAAGCGTGTTTGACATCCCCGACGAAGATGTTTCCGCTTGATGTTGCACTGAAGTAGAAAAGAAAAATCGACACATTATCTAGTAGTGAGAATCTCCATGGAGAGAAATATTGATAAATTCCGAATTTGCAGAATATAAAAAAGATTTATAACAAAATTAATGTGTTGCAAGCTCAATTAAGAAAAGCATAATGCATCCTTTATCTAAAAGTAAACATTTTATAAAATGATACACAATATCAATTGAAAGATATTGTGTATATTGTATCAAACTAAATGATTAAGATTCTGTTTTTATTGATATGTATTAATTGTATTTTGAAAATGTTATGCATATAATATCAAAATTCTAAATTATCATTAATATTGTAGGAATAAGAATTTTACCGTTAAAATAAAATAAGTATATCCTACCGACATGGTTGATGTCTCGTGTATGTGTGTTGGTGAGGACAGAGTTACTGACTAAATTTATTATTCCCCTTTATTTGAACGTGTTGTGTTGGTTCGTTGTCGAGCAATAGCCTTGTTATGCGAGCGAAAATCAGCATTTAATTGCTACGGCGACCTTCTCGCAAATCCGGGATGTTAAACCGAAAATTAAAGACTGTTGACGATCGGAGAGAAGGAAGGAGACGGGCCGTTCCAGCAAAAGAGAAAGACGTGTATTGGCGTAACAAGCCGCCTCTCGAAAGAAAAATACTCCTGGCAATCAGAGAAATAAGGAAACTGTATACGCGCATCTAACTGTATGAATTAAACTGCATTGATTGAGTTTTGAATATTCATATCCTTTATTTTTTATTTAAAATAAAATCCAATCCGCTTTAAACCGACAATATTCAATTTACTATAAACAATTTTATTTCAGGAAAAATAAGGGAAGTAATCGAGTATGTATATGTTGTGGCCGTATGTGTATGTGATGGGAACGGACTGACTCATTTCCTAGAATAATATGCGAATAACGTCAAACATTCAATTTATGCTACAATGATCATTGCAAATGGAATGAAAAGACAGAGAATTAATTATACCGCATCGATATAGAAAAAATTTTTATTGGTATCATAACGTTAACGTAAATCATGTATGTTGACTATTGAACGCGTTGTATTCTTTCGATAACACGAAGAAAGAAATAACTCTCTGGCAAACCGGTATGTCTCATGTGAATACCAAAAACTCGCCAAAAAGAAACTCTAATCGTTCGTTAATCTGGACTTCTCTTCGCGAAGTGTTTAAGTCGCTATCGGATAACGTTCCGGGTGAGTTGATTTGCATAAGGTAAAGTAGTTTTCCATTCCGTCGAAAATTTCAGATTCGAATCGCCAGGAAACGAAACATCTGCCTATTTGAGAGATTTTCATTTACAGAAAAGGTATTCCCGCTATTCTTATTTTGGACCGTAGTGAAAATATTTCTCACCACGCCCTAAAATCCGTTAAAATTACAATTGAATAAATCTTTCAATTCTTTCTTGGAATTTATAATTGTGATTTCACGTAATGACGAGTTAAAAATTGCAAGTTTCAAAATCGACCATAAGAGGAAACGCAGTTCGTAAATAGCGTAGCAGTTTCCGAGCAATTTATTATTCCGTTAAGAGTCTTCTCCGACTTCTTCTCTTGCCTTCTCCGTTCAAAATCTTCACAAGGAGGTGCGACTTAAACCGCTTTTCCGTTGCCGACGCGAGATAATTCTTGTCAGAAGGATAGAATCTCGCAATTTCGGTGACTTTGCGAAGTCGGCTCATATCTCCGCTATCAGTTCTCAAGAAATTTTGCGCATTTTCCTTTCTTTCTTTTCTTCCAGAGAGACAAAACAATTTTAAAAATCTGCTTACACAAATATATATGTATAATATTAAACTATTTAGATTTTGAAAAGAATAAAAGAATAGAGAGAGATAAAAAAAATAAAATAAAATTATATTCACAAAAAGTAAGAAAGTTATATTATTAATTTTAATTCGATTTTAATAGAACTTTAATTTAATATATCTTAATTATTATAGCATAGAATACTTTTAGAAATAATCATAACAAGAAAAATAATGTACGATAAAATTTTTACTAAAAAACATTTAATTTCGAATTAATTGAAGAATATACAATATGTATAAAAATTTTTATAATTTTCGAATATATGTGTACATATATACATCTATTAGTCTGTATGGCTTAAATTAGCTACAACAAAACAAATATGACTTGAAAAAAATATAAGCATTTAAAATTCAAAATATAAATCGATTATATAATAATGATTCTATTTCTCGAAAGCTGAAATAAAGGACAATAAAAGACAAAACAAATCCATCTATTCTTCAATAAATTACTATTTAGCGATTATCACATGAGACATGAGATCAGCACTATTTTTATTATTATTTTAAAATTATTTTAATTTTTCAAAAACCGTATTTATTATGTTTCCCTCTCGTACTCGAGACTATAGCAATTTATTTCAGATAATTGTCTCATATTTGCCCAATGTGCAAATTTAATCCAATGTGAGAGCACGGGCTTCCAGAGTTAGCGCTTAATCCCATTGGGATGACGATTGATCCTACCAAAATGACGTTCGATCCTATCTAAATGCACACATATGTGCAAACAATGAATAAGCGAAAATCCTCTCTGTTACGGTAATCAGCAATACATTGTATTAATAAATGTATAAGTATATATACATGCATATATAAATCATATCATAATAATTTTATTATAAATCCAAAATATACTTTTTACTATAAAAAAATTTATAATGATATCATAAGAAATATATGAAATTTAAGAAAATTTGACAGGTCAAACATTCTTTTTAAAAATTAAAATTTTTTACTTTACACATTTTATTAGTATGCTGAAACTTCTAACTTAATTAATGAATTAAAAACGACTATCATTCACATATTTTATCAGATTATTAAAATGTTTAATTATATACAAAATAATTCTGAATTAAAGTCGCAAAATTGTCCTCGATTCTGCGTAATTTGTTTGATATTGGAAATTTTTGAAATTCAGAAATACTTTTTGCAAGGAGATGCTGATGGT